CGTGCAAACACACACACACACACACACACACACACACACACACACACACACACACACACAATTGTATATGCACACATGCCATGCATGTAGCGTCAGAGACCTCTCAACCAACACAAAGCCCGGCTACATGCAGGCACAGGACTGAGTTTCAAGAGCTCCCCGTACACAAACACACACTCTGTGCAATAAACCCAGGCTGGGGCCCCCAGGCGCCCTCTCCTCCTCCCCTCTTACCTCCTCAAACTCCGGCTCAGAGCCCTCCACTCCGGGGAAGCCCCCTCCAATGTCCAGGAGGCTCATGTCATGCCCGACACCACGGCCCATCTCAAACACTCGCCGGCTGTGCGATGGCCTGTGCAAAGCTGTGGGGATTCTGGCAGCCTGAGCCCACGTGGAAGCTGAGCACAGGTGCAGTGACAGGTGCAGAAACACACGAGGAAACACAAGGGTCAGCAGAAAGATACACATTCGGAAACAGCCACACAGGCACACGGACACAGACACGGGGACATGTATGACTCCATGTCCCCGTGGGCACCCACCGGAACCACAGCCTTGGCTGTGCACATGGGGGTCCCAGAGACACACACCACATGACAGTCCGTGAGTTGGGCTCTCGTGGTTGTGGGGCAGTCACCTCTCTTACCAACCCCTCCCCAATCCTCGCGGCAGGGGCTCCGGTTCTCCTCCTCCCTGGAATGCAAGTGATCTGAACCCCAAATCTCAAACCATCCACCAGGGGGCGCAGAGGACCCAATTAGGGACAGGTTGGGTGAGGTGAGGGAGGACGCTCTCCAGCTGCAACATTCAAGGGGGCACCAAAGCACTGAGCAATCAACGTAAGTAACCTCCATGCACTGTCTATATATATTAGAGAGAGAGGAAGAGCGAGTGAGGGAGAGACCTCAACTGGTTGCCTCCTGTACACACCCCATCAAGGGATCAAACCCGGTGATGCAGAAATACCATGATGAATAAAATACAAAAACTTTAAATAAAGACAAAAGACAAGATTAGTTAAGAGTAATTGGACCCAGAAGGAAAAGGAAAATTTAGAAATGCCAATCCTGTCTTGATGTAAAATTTGATATTCTCTCATCATTGATTTTTTTAAAATATATATTTTTATTGATTCAGAGAGGAAGGGAGAGGGAGAGAGAGAGAGAGACATCAATTATGATAGAGAATCATTGATTGGCTTCCTCCTGTACGCCCCCTACTGGGGATTGAGCGGCAACCAGGCATATGCCCTCGACCGGAGTCCAACCCCAGACCCTTCAGTCCACAGGCTGACGCTTTATCTACTGAGTCAAACGAGCTAGGGCTCATCATGGATTTCTTCTGCATTAATTTTTTAAATACTGTATTAAAACATTATTTCTCTCGAGTACAAAGTTTTCGGCATCCCGTTAAATTTTGCACCCAAGGCCAGTGCCTTGCCTGCCCCACCCTCCCAGCAGCTGACACCCACCTCCTCTTCTGAGGGCCACAGGGAGCCACCGGAGGCCCAGAGGGGCCACGCTGACCCGAGGGCACCCAGGGAGTCAGAGGCTGCGGACAGGCGTGGGGACCAGGAGCCCTGCCTCGCAGGAGGGAGAGTCCGTGCTCTTACCTGGCTCCCACCACAGCCAGGCCTAGGTCTCGGGCGGACTTGAGCAAGTGTCCACACAGCTCCAGGCTGGCCCCAAACTTGGCGCTCATGGGGATGAGGCTCTGGCTGTCCTCGGTCCACAGTCGAAGGACCAGCCTGGGAGGGGGTGTGAGGGTGACAGGCATTCTTAGACACATGAACCTCAGGCCTGGATGCTTTTCTGACCCCACCCAAACTCCATGGTCCTTGGGACTGTCCAGCCATGGAGGTCCAGGGAGGGAACACACCACTACTTACCATACTTCAGCCCAGACAAGAAAAAGCAGGAAAAGGATAAAATTATAAACATGCCTTCAACAGACCTCCTGTCACAGAATCAGAGACGTTAAATAACTTTCCCAAGAACACACAGATGGAACAAATAAGTCAGAAATGTGAGCCCTGGTCTTCCTGAATCCTATGTGAGTGCTTTTCCCACGAGGTTGCTGACTCCAGACCTCCTAATGCCAGGCTCTGCCAGTGCCTCTGCAGACACAGGAAATCTTTGACAAGTGTGGGCAACAGAGAGGGCACTGGGACACCCGACCCACATTCTTGTTCTTTGCAGCTTGGACGTCTCATACTCACCACGGAACAGCCTTCATCTCCTTGCTGAGGCCCAAGTCAGTTTGCCAGAACTGCCTTCAACAGACCTCCTGTCACAGAATCAGAGACGTTAAATAACTTTCCCAAGAACACACAGATGGAACAAATAAGTCAGAAATGTGAGCCCTGGTCTTCCTGAATCCTATGTGAGTGCTTTTCCCACGAGGTTGCTGACTCCAGACCTCCTAATGCCAGGCTCTGCCAGTGCCTCTGCAGACACAGGAAATCTTTGACAAGTGTGGGCAACAGAGAGGGCACTGGGACACCCGACCCACATTCTTGTTCTTTGCAGCTTGGACGTCTCATACTCACCACGGAACAGCCTTCATCTCCTTGCTGAGGCCCAAGTCAGTTTGCCAGAACTTCCTCCCTGTCCCCACCTGCCTGCAGCCCTGCTGGTCTCACCTGGCCCCAGGGTGGTGCTGGGCCACCTTGGTCAGCTCCTCCTCACTGTCGAAGGTCAGGAGCTGCACCCCATGGCGGGCAGCATACTGCAGGTGGGAGACGGGCTTGCAGGGGTGGGCATAGATGATGCGTGAGGGGGCCACGCCCAGGCCTAGTACCTGCTCCAGCTCCACCTGCCATTGGCAAAGCCAGAGTAAGGGGCTGCCTTCCTAATGCCCTGCTTTTTGGGCACAGGAACCACGGGCATGAGGGGCTGTCCCCTACTGAGACCCTACTGTGCATCTGGCAAAGCACTGAGCACATATTGTGCTATTTAAGCTTCTAGACTGCTCTGTGGAACATATAGTTGAACCCATTTTAAAGACCAAGAAACTGAGGCTCCAGTGAAATGGCTGGGCCAGGACAGAA